CTATTACCTATTTCCTAGAAAATTACACAGAAGGAAATAATATCCATTTGTCTGTACCAACAAAAAAAAAGGCAAAACAATGTAAGTGTAAATTCATGGAAAGAATTCTTCAGCTCTTCTCAAAGGAAGAGCTGAATACCTCCATCCATTTTCATAACAGAAAAAAACCACAATATTTAATTTCGAGAAAAAAAATTATAGGACATTCCCATGAAAGCTTGATCAAAACTTACAAAGCATAACAAAGCCACAAGCATTTTCTAAGAAAGCAAGCAGAGAGCACACAAGCCCTGCTTGGGAAGTAGAGCTTCTCAAGCTGGATCTGTGAAAGCTTCCATGACACTTTGCACCAAACTGGAGGCCATGGCTGCACTTGGCAGAGCAGAGAATGCAAGTGGCTGCTGCACTGGAATGGATGCTTTGCCTGCATCCCTTCTGCACACACACACTCTCTCCAAAAAAACCCTCAATCCCCCAACTCTTGGTTCTGTGGCATTTCTGAATTCACTGATAAATGCAGATGGTTTCACATGACTCTGAAAGACACATGACAGGCTTAATATTCTCTGCTAGCAAGACAGGAAAGAAAGCATCACTACAACAGGGCTGAAATTGAAATTCAAAGAAAGGAAGGCTGCAGGGGCTGGTTTCTTGCAAGGCTTGGTGGTTTTTGCCCTTCTCACTGCAGGTACACATGTCAATAGGGAAACAGCTCTATAATACCAAAATACAGCAGTCAGTTCCAGATGTCACATTGGCATTGAAGAAACAGATGAATTATGCTGGACAAGCCAAATACAAAATGCTCAAGACAGCTGTCAGATCAGTATTTCAATGGTCGGTAAACATGTGTATAAATATATTCCCACTGATCAGCTCAGCATCTTCCTTACTCCAGTACCTCTCTCCCTGTTACCTGAACTGCCACAGTGACTTATTTACCAAACCACCATAGCAAAAAAATCACCTTCTATATTTACCGGTGCAGAATCCTTTGAACCCCTCAGGGAAACCCCCCAGGGCCTCACCCTGGAAGGACACACCAAGGAGTCCCCACCTAGGCTGAAAGAGAAGCTCACCCAAGCATTTTCCACAGGAGATGCTCATTGGGGATTGGTCAGCAGCAATGTCCTGGGGTGACGTTATGATTCTTGTATCCCCATTCATCTGTTCTGTGCCTTTAAGACCGGCTCTGAAGAGTGGAAGTTTTGTTTGGGTTTCTCTTATCAGGGACACAGAGACAAGCGGTACATAGGGCTGTTTTTTCACTTCTTGCTTTTGCTTGCTCTCTTTTTCTGCTCTTGCTTCTGCTCTGCTTTTGCCTCTGCCTATTAGCTAGTTCTAGCTAAACAGTCCACATTGCTTCCTGGACTGTTTCTCCTCTCCTGTTTCTGTGACCATCTCGAACCTGCTCCGGACTGGGACCCGGGAACACCGAAGGTTCGGCTGCAGCGGCTGGCCCAGCACCGGAGGGACTGAGAACAGAGCAACCACCCCCAAAAGAGACTTTCTGATTTTGTCATCTTTCTCAGAGCGGTGTCATCGGGTATTGTTCATTTTGTGTGCTGGGGGGTGCTGTGTCTGTCAAATAAACAGGTTCTTTCCACCTCTCTCCAAGGAATTTTTTTCCCGAACCGGTTGTGGGGAGGGGCCGTGTGAGTTTTGCTTTCTGGAGGGGCCCTCCTTTGCAGATTTTTTAACAAATTTGCCCTAAACCAGGACAAAGCTTTGGCGCCCAACGTGGGGCTCAACAAGCACCCACTACCTAAACACCATGCTGCTACACACTGCTTTATCACAGAGCAGACAGTATTAAAAGCTCCTAGCAGCATATTGAGTTCTAAGCAGCAAGAAACGATGGCATTCAAAATCACAGCTGAATCCTTCACAACTGTGCCAAGTGTTACACACTTTTCATTAGTTACATAGAATTGCTTCTCACCTCACTTTATAACCAGATGGTTTCTATCTATCTCTCAATAATTCAGAGAAAAACAGAGCTCACCAAAATACTAAGATCCAAGGTTCTGCTTATACCAGTGCTTACACCTCTTCTTTAAAATATCTGGTAAAATTTTCCATAGGATCAAATGACTTTCAAGAATTTTTTATCACCATCTGAAGATTAAGCTAAACCATGAACATTTGTGTGTTTTTCTTGCATTTTCCTTCCTTTCATGATGTTCCAGTAATAACCCTGTACCCCTCTGGTAACTAGCAGCAAGCTCCAATGAGAGTTCCCTTTCAAAGGAAATGAGCCTAAAATTCACTGTTTCAGATACAGCTCTTCTAAAATATCCCAAACTCCCTGCTCCTTACAACTCCCCAGGGATCTTTATGCTAATAAAAAGGCTCCAGGCAGAGCCCTCTGACACACAGAAGATCATCTTAGCTGTTGCCTTAAGACCACCCACCTCTGATCTCCACACTTGGACACAACTGTTCCAGTTGTAGGCTCAAGGACATTCTTCTCAAAAGCAGCAGCTCAGGATTTGAAAGCTGATCAAACCATAAAAACGTAAAAACCTATGAAGAATTTGGATAGAGAAACCAGATTCTCATCTGCTATTCTCTGGCTTCCCACAGGATAGTTCTCCCTCTCTGTGTTAACAGGTTTACCATTACTACCAAGTATTCTTAGAGCAACCCCAGTCTTCCCCAAACACACCACTGAAGGGAAGCACAGGAGTAACAAACCCAAAATGGGTATTAGCAAAACAGCTCTACAGATTTATAGCCTTGCTTTTAAAAACAAAAGCTTGTTAGCTTCTGTTGGCTCTTTCCCTTCCCATTCTTTCCCATGCTCTCAGGTGAAGTCAAGGTTCTGCTGACACACCAGGACAGTAACATGGATTCCCAACACAAGTGACACTGGAGATCTTACTTACCTGACAACACCCAATTCTCCCAGCCAAAAGTGAGTTATAGGAACAGAAATAATTCTTCACCAAATCATATGCAACCAGCTGTTCATTTTTTATTATTATTACCTATTTAACACTAAATTAATTTCTCATAAAACATTCATAACATTCCAGGATCATTATGTGTTTTGCATTGGCTCCAATATAAATGCCCAGCTTATTTCATTTGTTGAACAGTCAAAATATTTGCTAATAATTTCACTTGACAAAATAAAAAAGGTTTGTGGATGTGACAGCCTGGTCAGAGAGTAAGAAAACCAGATAAATTTTCCCAGAATTGGCCTATGAGACTTTAGGGAGTTGAAGATGAACAATGATCACTTGTTATTATAAACAACCTGCAAGCACTCTGTGTTTTCCTGCTTTTCTCAAAGGTTGTTTATAGGAAAGGGGTTTTCTGCAAACTCCCAAGTGTTTTCTGTGATTGCTAGGGGTTTTTTGGTTGGTACTTTTTGGGGCATTTGGGGTCAGGAGGCTCTTTTATTTCTGCTATATCAGATTTCAATCCACACCATGCTTTCCTTTAATAAATATTTTGTAAAGCACATAAAATACCTTTCCTTTCACTCTGAAGATTTAAGAGCATTGGGGAGCTCTGCATGTGAATTTCCCCACTCTGAACTCTAACTGATATGCCTCACAGGGAAATTAAGACATAATTATTTTCCCTATGGAAAGTTTTTAAATGATATGGCATAATCTGGTGTACTGAAAAAAATGCAGGAGCCTTAATCTGCTATTTCTTACCTAGGTAAATAGCAAATTGCTTTCACAGGGCATGGTCCTTATCTAAGAAAGCAGCAAATCCTGCACAATGAACATGCCATTAGCTGTAATATAATCTTCTGTATTTTCCACGTTTTCTTTTTAGTCAGATCTATAATAATCAACTAATTCACCCCAGTTTACCTTGAGGTTAAACAAAAGAAAAGAAATAAACACAAGAAACTTTCATTTTAGCACATGAAATTAAAAGCCCAGAAACTTAAATGAAGAAAAATCAATATTTTAGTCAAAATTAGATTTTAAGAGTTTCTGGTATCAGATATGGAGGTTTCAATTTCAATTAAAAATCTGTATTGGGATACATAATAATCCATTATAAAAGTGCACGTGACCCCTGGAGAAACAAGGAAGCTGGAAGAAGCCTTCTTACAAATCCAGGAACACATTAAATCACATACCAGTGAGATCTGAAACACAGAACTCTTCAAGTTTTAAAAACAGACATTGAAACTGAATTATTCAAGAGAAAACACTGGTTTGTGACATTTTCAGAACATCATACTTCCTTGACAGAAATTTTTCATTTCTCCAAGACCTGCATTTATTCAACAGGCATAAAATGTACTTCTCAAGCTTGCTGTTGAACATATTAATATTTGCTCTTCAACTTTTATTTCAACTACATTACCACAAAAGGGTAAGAATACTTATGCCACTGTGTAAACTACAGTGTTCTTCAAAGAACTAATGATCTTGAAATGAACACAGACCAGATTCACAGGAATCAGTGAAATCTTTGCTCTAAAAGATCTATGCTGAAATTTTTATATCTCTGTAACTCTGAACATGACAAAGTGAACACATTTTTTGGTACTTAATATCTTAGAAAAAGTGTATCTGTAGCTGTGTTTTTTCCCATTCACTTCCTTAAGATGAAAGTTCAAGTCTTTAAATTGGTGATAATCAGAAGAATTCATACTTTACTGTTGCACAAAAACCAAAACAAGTGGTGAGTCTTTCAAGTTGAAGGCCAAAATAGGTACTATTTCAGAGTAAATTATGCCAAATTTTTCATGTTACTCATGAAATTGCTCATTCAATCAGGTGTTTCAGCAACAGAGCAGCATATTTTTGCAACTGCAGTTTTTAAGAACCCCCAGCCAGTACAGACTAATAACCATTTCTATGTTAACCACAGATTGCCTGAGTGTTTGCATTGATCATTTGGTCTCCATTTGCTGCGCTGAGCTGTGTAAGTGGAATGTGACAAAAGGAACACAAGGAAACATCTGCCCTGTGTGACAGCACCCTAGTGTTTGTGACAGTGGGAATGAAGGGAACACCTCCTACCTGTGGGCACAGAGTCTCAATGTGGTTTGCTGCCATTTGGACAATTTTCGTTCCATCTTCATTTGTTGACAATGAACAAGCAAGATTGGCAACCTGAAATAAAATAAACAGACTTCAATTAGCAATCAGCCTTGTGAGCAAGTATTCCTGCTCACACTTCAAACCTGCCAAAAAACATCTCTGCTAGAAAGCCTTCAGTGGGGGGGAGAAATATTTTGTCAAAGAATGTTTTTGAACAGGGAAACACTGCAGGAGGGAAAAAGAGCTGAGGAAGGAGGTGACAGTGATGAGAAATCTTAGCACCTCACCCCAATTTAGGCTCAGCAGGTAACAGCTGCAGAGTGGTGTTTGGAAAATAGGAGGAAATTTCAAAGTAAGAGCCTAAGGTTTCAGCAGATTGCCTGTGATCTTGACCATTAATTTTTCAGAGCCCTTCAAACCATAACCAGCTTTTACACAGTCCTTTAAACTTACTTTTAAGACCTTAAAGCTCAAATAAAATTTATCTTGTTGTAATTAAATACAAAATAATTTCTGCCCTGAGCTATCAACAATTTTTTTTTTTAGTGGTATGGTTTTCAACTGAAATGATCATATCATACAGCATATACAGTGCAACCAACAGTGACAAGGTATATGGAAACTTGAAATGTGTGAAAGAACAAATCCATCTTCTATTATAACATACACCATGGAGATATAGCTTTCTTTAAAGTGAAAATCTCATCCACAATGCTCCACAAGTTTAAATGGATGAAGAAGAAAGTATGTTATAATGTTAATGCAAACCAAACAGTGCCTGAGAGCCACAACTCTGCAGTGCTGAAATATCAACATAGCCACAATCATTTTGGAGTCACCCAAAACTCATACAACAACTTCTACTGTTCAGCTGCCATGAAATAAAAGCAAATCTTCCTTTATCAACATTTTGGGACACCATCACTACTAGTTCAAGAATAATCTACCACACCAAAGGCTTTTATTATTCTTACTTAATTGATAGAAGTATTTAAAATACATTAGTCAGTGCATAGACAAATAAATTACTTTTCCTATTGAAAATTCAGAAGAGATTAAGAATCACTTTCTGAAGGGGATGGGATTTGGAATGCACGGCCTCCCATGTACACCTGCGCCTACACAAAAATACTTTGTACAACTTCCCCTGGTATTCCAAGGGCAATACCAATGGTTCCCTACCCATGTGATGTATTATCCTTCCACATTAAAAAAGTGGTTAAGACTGAAGAAATCTGGTTTTCATCAATGCACTAACACTGTATTCTCTTTTATTTGGAGTAAACTGCCACAGGTTGGTTATTTATGCAGTACCTGAAAAAATGGGTTTGATTCTATGCTTTCCTTCCTGACTCTTCAACTTAAACTACCCACAGATGACTTTGTATCATTACAATACAGCCCTAAAAGATGCTATTCCCTCCCCTCCAAAAAAAGAAATAAAATTAGTTGTTTTATTTTGGAGTGCATGTCAGAAGTTTTCACTACTGCTCCCAACAATTAATTCATACTGGCTTCAGTATTTTAATTCCTTTGCCTCAGTCTCTGAGGTGCTTGTGTAGCCCTAACTTCAATCTGTGTTCACTCACACTTTGTTCCTACACCACTAAGTAAAATAAAGCACTCTAAAGGACTCAGTGCAAACATTATTGATTTAAAGAACTCTTCTATGTCTAAAGCAGCAACATTTCAAGGGTAAAATAAAAAGGCAATGCCAGCCATTCCACCAGGACAAAAACTCTCAGCAGCTTTATTTCTTTTTTCCCTTTACCATAAGGTAACCAGGTTTTTCAAATTCATTTGGCAGTTTCAAGAAAAACTTGATTTTCATTTCTTGGAATCCAAAACAAACGTGTGCAATATGGAGCTCCTGTTTATCAGTGAGGAACTGCTCTGAGCAGTTTTGTCCCTGTCATGATGAGCAAGGCAGACACAGACAGTTCACAGCAACTTTTTATCCTGATTCCTAGTTACACTGGCTCCAGCATTTCAGTACAAATACAGTCCTTGATGTAAATTGTGTCACAGTCACAGAATAACAAATTAGGGTGAAAGGTTCCCAGAGACCATGTACTCCAAGCCCTGTTCAAAATGTGAGAATGAACTTGAAACCATCTGGTGCAACACATCAGCACTGGGGACAAGTTCTGTGTTACCAATCATGTGGGAGATTAGAAGGGTAAAAGTGTGGCTCTTCTCTGGCAAAGCATGCTCAGGCTGGGAAGGAGCTCTTACTGCACAAGTATTCTTTTTATTTGAAGTCAACAGCAGTAAAAGTTTTTTTTTAATATAAAGAGGAACAACTTTCTGATCCTTCAGCCCTCAGCATTCCTTGCTCATGGCCCATTCCAGAACAGTATTCTCAAAGCACAAGCAGCAAACCCAGGGCAGGGCATAAGCACTTGGAATTCACACTAGGCCATTTTACAGCAGCAAACAGAGGTCTGTAATAATTACATAAGGTGTCTTAAAAATATCTATTATGTGAAACAAAGTAGCATTGGCTACTTTGGAATAAACACGTGTGTATTTTGGATGAGTATTTGGAATTCATACTACAGTGCATTGCCAGCAGCAAATTTAGACCTTTGCCTTTCATTTTGAGCAATGTTGATAAGGCTTCTGTTTCCACGAGAAAATGGGTAGAATTTTCTTCTCCTGGCACTGAAGCAGCACTTGTCCACATGTACCTTATGCATAAGTAGAAGGGCTTTCAGTCAGTCTCAGCAGTAGGTGGTGAGGCTCACAGCTATTCCACCCAAAGACAATTCAGACTCCTGAGGTCACTAACATGGTCTCAGCCATCAGCACATTCACTGTTGGTATTTCCCTCAGCAGCTCCTGAAGAGATTTCCTAACACCAATCCAAACCACAATAATTCAAATAAACCACATGGAAGTAGGAAAACACCTGTGTGTAATTTTTCCAAACAGGAGCAAGGGATGTGTGAACCTCAAGTCTCTTTTGAGGCTGTAATGTTGCTAATAAGGAGGGCAAGCTGCTCAGCAATAGTAAATGTCTAGAGTCTATAAGAAAAAATCAAGCCCTAGCTCGGATAAGACCTTACTGTCATCTATCACACACAGCTCAGAAGGTTTTTGCAACCTGAGAAATCTTCATTACACCACAGTCTCTCCCCTAAGCAGTATAAACTACACAAATACATCACATTTCTTTTGTATTCTCTGGAAGAAACCAGCTTCCCCTAGGGGACTGCAAACCCAAGTACACTGCAACTTCAAAAACAAAACTGCAAAATGAAAATCCAAGATTGCTCTCAGTCAGAAAATAATTGTCCTTCTGAAGAGCAAAGTTTGTCAGGACAAATAAAAAGCTTTCTTGTAGGCTGGTCTGATTGAAATCACAATTCTACCAAAGAAAAAAAAATTATCATTTTCTCCAGACATTTTAAAGACTCTAAGAAAGCAGTTATAGAGCTTTTCCTTGAAAACATAACAAACAGAGAACAAACCATCCTTGATGAGGTTTAGCAACATCAATTAATACACTAATTAAGGTGCAGTGGGAAAATAAGACTTTGAACTGAGCATGTACGTGCAGCATTGGCAGTAGATAAAATATTTCCTTAGCTGGATGGATTTTTAGATTCTGAAGGCACCAAAGAGTGCATTTTTTGAGGCCCATTATCTCTACACAGAAGAAATGCCAATGAACATTTCTTTTATTCCTGTAGTTATTAAACAACTTCTTAACTGGTGCTTTTTCTATTGGGTGAGTGTTTACCTTTTGGTATTGGGGAGGGGGTTCCTCTCTTTACAATATCATGACCCAACAACTTTTAAGGCTAGAAATTGCTGAACAGTAAGATTTGGGTATTGCAGATTGACTCTGTTAAAAAAGAATTCAACAAATCATGTTGCTCTCCTTGATTTATACATTACATGGGGCTGGTGCATCGAGGAGAGAGCACAACTGGAAATGCTTGTCCAGATTTCTTCAGTTCCTACTCTTTACCAAACTGAAAGGCAAAGAAAGATGCACGTAAAGGCCATGAGAGAGACATTACACATGAACAAGTTCATCTGTTGTCCAAACTTCCTTGGGCTGGAAGACTTTTTCCCTTGCCTATGCTCACACAAGTGCATTCACACTGTGGATCCCCAATGTTCTCTCCCCAGGCAGAGGATGATGGCTTTAAGTGAAGATGAAGGCTCGAGCTTCATCCACCCTCAGATTTGCACTGGGTATTAATGCAAAACAGAAAACACATTTAGGCAAAACACTCTGGAGAGCCACCAAATACCTCTAGTGGGTTTCCAGGTGTGAATTAAGGTGAATTACCAGAATTACCAGGTGTGGTAATTCTTAACAGCCAACTACCTGGAGCTGTCTATTGCTGAAAGAAACAGAGACAGCCTAACATCCTTCCTGTGGACAAAATATCCCTTAAGAGCCTCAGAGCAAGTGGAAGCTCAGTGCAAAGTAAGATTTTCTCTTCCCTGTGAGGGCTCTTATGTTCATTCTGCTGGAAAGGGACAGAAATCCTTGGGAGAGATGGGACAGAAATCCTTGGGAGAGATGTTCCAGCCATGATCTAAGGATGCAAAACAGTGGTTCAGGAATGACTCCTGGTTCAGACTTAACTCCAGGTTGAGAACAAAATGGAAAGTCAAATGCAAAAGTGAGATTTTAAGCAGTAGAGGAGTAAATGATCACTGCACTGCCTCACCACCTGTTCCATTTGCAGTTGAGAACAGCTTTGCTGATATATTGTCCACACTGCACAGCAAGAATTAGATGTACCCCCAAGGATTTTTTTCAGTCAAATTCACTCCATTAACTCCCAAAAATAAGTATTTGCTCAGGAACAGATTGTCTGCTAACTAGCTAAATTCTTCTTCTATAAATTGTACAAAATGAAGCAGCATGTTCTCTAGATGTGATCCCTTCTGCTCCACCAGTAGAAGCTCAGATTCTTTTCACTATTTTACCCGAAGTCCCAAAGCACTTTTGCTGTAAATCACTAAGGATAACTAAGTCATTAATTCCATAAAAGTTTGTTTCCTCTTCTTGGTGAAGATTTCCTGGTTTTAATTAAACACCTCTTGTC